TTTAAAAATATTCTTAAGTTTCAGGTGGACACAATATTTTACATTTATATGGTTCTGAGGATCAAACCCAGTGCCTCATGCATGCTAGGCGAGCACTCTACCACTGAGCCACAATCCCAGCCCCTAATTTTTAAAGAGGTCTCCCTGTGTTGCCCAGGCTRACGCTAAACCTCTTTAGGCTCAAGTGATTCTCCTGTCAAAGCCTTGAAAGTAGCTGAGACTATAGGCGTGTGCCACCAAACCTGGTTCAACAAATATTTGAATGCTCTATGTGATCACCTACATGAATGTATGACACATCCCTGATCTCAAGAGGCAGGTAGCACTAGGAATTGCTGATGTTGAGGCAAGGGTAATTAATATAGGATATAAAGAGTACAAAGAGGCAGCAGCTAGCCAGTGTGTATCACCTCAAGTCATTTTAAAATGCTGAGCTCTCCCTCTTTAWCTGGAAGATTCACTAGTTATTTGAGAACTTTGGAGTGGCTCACTCCCTCCCCAACTGGTGACATTACAGGGCTTTGGATAAGAGCTGGCTCCAGCTTGCAGGGGTTTCCTTTCTTCAGGGCTCTATTGGTTGTCTTGTGATGCTCGTGATAGATTTTCCCAGCTTCCAAGTCATTCAACCCAGGAAGCCAGAACTCCCCATTTCTTAGTTTTTGTGATCATAAAGATCTTAACTTAGCCGGGYGTGTTGGCACATGACTATAATCCCAGTGGCTAAAGAGACTGAGGCAGGAGGATCATGAGTTCAAAGCCAGTCTCAGCAAAAGGAAGGCACTAAGCAACTCAGTGAGACCCTGTCTCTAAATGAAATACAAAGTAGGGCTGGGGATGTGGCTCTGTGGTTGAGTGCCCCCAAGTTCAATCCCTGGTATGGGAGTGTGGAATGGGGGGTCTTAAGTTAACCACCCTTGCCACATATCCCCATCCCACCCCCACCCCCAAAAAAAGGAAGAAAAAGGAAAAACAGAAGCTACCCTAAAACAGTATTTGAGGGAAGGGAATTAGGGAAGATTTCATTGCAGTTCTGCCTAAAAAGCCAAGTCCTTAAGAGTAAGAATTAGTGAACCATGAGATTGGGGAAAGGGAGAGGACAGGAAAAGAAGTGTTCCCAAAGAGTCTAAGGATGTGTAGAAGAGCACAACATGTTTAGGAAACTGCAAGTAATTTACTATGCCCAGAGCATAGAGTTCAACGGTTTCTCTCTGTTCATGTTCAGGTGGAAGGCTAAACTTTTCAAACTTCCCAGAAGGGGCTTGCCCAACCCTGGCCAAAAAGAGACAGGCAATCAAGAGGAAGTTTCCTCCTCTTTCAGTCTGTGGCAGCCTTCTTGGTTTGKTGTCCCAGGCTCAGGATTCATTTCATTCTTGGTGGTTAATGCTAATAGAATCTTCCTTAGAGAAAGATTCCACAGCTGGGCACACTGTTCTTGCCTGTAATCTCAGTGACTCAGGAGATTGAGACAGGAGGATCACAAATTTGATACCAGTCTCAGCAACAGAGAGAAAGACTCCAGCGTAAGATTTTACTCTAGAACCTTACTTAATAAGAACAACACAGCAGTACATTATCTTCATGCATTCAGTGAGAACTATTGTTCACATAGCCAACAAACAGCCACTTTCAGTAGACTTTCAAGCCTACGGAACTGAATTTTGCATCTAAGTATTGGCATTAATTGTGGTATGAAATTTGTAAACTCTTTCATTTCCAAGTTGCAGTTCTTTCCACCGAATAAAACCAGTGTATTTCCAATTTTGTTTTGAGGATGAGAAGTTTACACAAGAAGAAAGGAAGCAAATTGTTTCCAGGAATTTTAAAACTGGCATTGTACTATGGTGTTCCCTGGCCACTGCTGTCACCCAAAGTTACATGTACTTAATTTCTAGAGGCTCTAGTTCTTATTTCCAGGCTAATGACATTAAATTTTCCTTTCTAAAAGGACTGCAACAAGGCAGCAACTATTGAAAATATAGATGATCTTGGGGCTGGGGTTGGGCTCAGCGATAGAGTGCTTGTCTAGCACATTCGAGGCACTGGGTTCGAGCCTCAGCACCACATAAAAATAAATAAAATAAAGGCATTGTGTCCAACTACAACTAAAAAAAAATTTAAAAATATAGATGATCTCGAACATGCATTCTCAATGGAGAGGAAAATTGGTTTGTGGGGAGCAAAAATATCTATTTTGCATAACACAAAAATATATACAATATGTAAACAGATATTCAGTGTAAAAATTCATGGTAATGGGCTATTAGGAAAAAGTAAATCTAAACAGGATTTTTGGGGGGAGATGATGAAGAAAAGCTTAAGAGACTCTGGTGCAGAGATTCTTTTTTTAAAGAGAGAGTGAGAGAGGAGAGAGAGAACTTTTAATATTTATTTATTTTTTTTAGTTCTCGGCGGACACAACATCTTTGTTGGTATGTGGTGCTGAGGATTGAACCCAGTGCCTCACATATGCTAGGCAGGCGCTCTACCACTGAGCTACCACCCAGCCCTGAGGCTGACTTTTGTGATCACAGGAGTGCACCACTGTGCCTGGCTGATTGTTCCACTTCTAACCAATGTACTTGTGAATCGCTCAAATTCTCTGGTCTTTGTTTCTCCCAGCCAAAGTCACTAAAATTGTTCAAGTGTAAAGAAAATGTGGATTTATAAGAAAAAGTTTCTAAAATCATTAAGTTTATATCACATAAGTGTACAAACCAAGAAAGTAAGTTTATTTAAATTACTAAAATAGCTTTTAAAGTCATTTATACATCAGCTGCTTCAAATATTTTTCCTGAAAGATATAAGTAACATATTACTTTTAAAAAATGTTTCACTGGGGTCAGTGAAACATTTAATAAAAACATTTCTCCATATAATATGTATGTATAAAATAAGTCTTTTCAAAAACTCCTGTTTTCTAATCCTCTATAAAATAAATCAGATGATCTAACTTTGGATAGTTAGGAACAAATTACAATAAAGAGTATAAATTTATGAGTACTGATAGTCCTAATAGAAAGAAACTAGACAACTCTYAGCTACCAGTTGTGAGACCCTCAAAGGGTAAATGATGAAGTCAATGACTGCTTTGAATACTCTAAAATTGGCCCTGTGGCCAATTAAAAAAAAGGTGAGTCCAGAATTATAAGATTTTATGAAAACCAAAGCAGTTGACAGGTGAGAAAGCTCAATTTAAATGCAAAGTTATAATTAAAATACTACAGAAGTACATCTAACATTCTTCTCATGTGGTAAAGTTTACTATCTTTTTGGCTTGAGGCACTCAATAAAATTTATCATGTGCATAATAAATCTTCAGATTTGTGATGCAGTGTCACTAAAGGACTGCAACAAATGGGCAAGCAGAAAATTAAATCCTTCTTCAATAGCCCAGGATGGCTGGTTAACAAACTGTGTGCCAATTTCTGAAACCGTATTGCTTATTTCAAAAAACCCCAAACTTCTGGTTATGTCCAAAATATACTGCTCTGAATTTACATGCCCTTAAGAGCCAAAGGAGAAAATGTATTAAACCTTGTGATATATAGGCTTTAAAAATCCTTGGGAGAACCAAGGATTTCTTGGAAGGAAGGAAGGAAGCAGGGAGAAAGAAACAAAACACATCTCAATAGATTTTGCTGAGGTCACAGTTCAGATGTCTGACTAACATATAGCTCAGTGAYTTCATGAACATTTCATCTTGGAGACTTTTTCTCTTCCACAGCATTCTCCATTCCACAATTCCTCTCTTCCCTTCCCTCATCCCCAGCCTTCAAGAACAAAGGAAAAAATTCTAAATATATACTCAGATGACCGCTCATTACTTTTGTTCCTAACAAGCAGAAGCTGAGAACTCACACCTCTATGGTATAAAAGGAAACATAATGGGAAAGTCCATGGTTACAATCAGAGAGCTGCCTTAATAATAACAAACTGTGAGAAATCTAAGTTAAAAAGCAGGAACCGTTCCTAGGAAAGGAGCCTAACTCCTCTCACTGTCACACCGCAGCAATAAAGACTCAGTCCAGAACCAACACAGATCCTCTACRGGACTGCATATAATTTACTCTCCTAAATATCTTAACATAGCTCTCAACAGAAACAGAGAAATGATTCTCTCAAGTCACAGATAATTAGGTTGAATATATGATTTAGATGTTCCATGAACTTCCTTTAAAAAGAAACCAGTTCTTTCAAAAAGTACTCTGAATTTTGACTCTGGATACAAAGTCTGAAAAATTCTCAGAACTTGAGACATGATTTTCTCTTCTTTCACCCCTTATAAGCAGATGCCCCTTTTCAGGGCATTTTCTGGTTGCACAGGCAGAACTAAGTGGGAAATTCGGCTCCAGAGCCCATTCAGTTTGTCTGGGTCCATGTGATTGTAGGAGCTGGGTGTGTTTGAGTTGGTGAACTTGACTTTGAGGAAATCCCTCACTTTTTCTTCAATTTCCTTTAGGCCAAGACTGGTTCCAAGTGTCTCCTCTTCCAACAAGACAGTCAGAACTAAAGCTACATCTTTGAAGGCTGCATTTTCATGGTCACAATATTTATAGAAGATCAAGGTAGAGCCTGCAGGCAGCGACTCAAAGCGGTGCACCACTGCGGCATTCTGGCCATTTTTGAATCCGTTGCTCAGCTGCTGATCTACCTCCAGTTTGACAATATCACTGTCTTCAGCAGCTTTGCCTGTCCCATCAATCCGGATGGCACGGACRCTGCGGAAGGAAGAATAGGCATCGGCAATTTGTTCACTCAGACACTTCAGTGCTTCTTCAGCGTCCCGGGCAGCAGTGAGCAGCAAGATAGCTGGCTGATTCCGAGGATGGGAGCTGTTAAGATGCTTTTCCAGGAACGTTTGGCTCCTTTTCCACAGCTTCTCATCTTGACCTTGGTACTTAGTCATAAGTTGTTGCATCTGGTTTTGGAACTCTTGAACAGCAGCAGTTTCTACCTCAGGAGTATGAAGGAACCAAAATATCCCGCAGGCGAGCGGAGCTATCATAAAAAGCAGCCACCACCCCCATTTCCTCTTGACAAAAGATTCGTTTTGGGGTTGTTCAGCCACTTCTGCTCAGAAAAAAGAAATGACACATGTATCATTTTCTTAGATTCAGTATTGTGTGACTTTTAAAATATTAATCTTTATAAACATTAGACAAAAAAGAGGGAGGACTTTAAAGAAGGGGACTGATAATTTTCTTTCTTGAAGGAACAAAATAATTTATCACATTTTCAAGAAAATCTCACACCCACAGGCTTGAATTMATGTATATAAATATGCATATACCTCTTCAATGTAAAATGACAAAAATTATGAGGAAAAAGTAGAATTTAAATGTACGAAATGGCATAAACAAGTCAGAAATAAAACCATTTACAAAGCAAAACTATTATTACCACTGTTAATAGTTAGGAGATAAAAATATTAAAAGATACCTTATATTTTTAATTTATAAACCTAGTAGTTCAAATGACTAATTATCTAAGGTAGAATCTCTCCGAAGAATATAAAATAAAGAGATGCGAGGTATCTCCCACAGATGTCCCTTTAGACTGACTGCACTGATGCCTATCTTTTTGCAACATGCAAGTCACACTGGTAAAATTTACTTTTGAATTTCATCCCAAATTATTAATAATAGTTACAATATCAATTTACATTTTCATAGCACTTCTCCGTTTATAAAGTGTTTTCTCATATACCACTTCATTTAATTGTTAATAATGACAGTAGTAGTAACACTTTTACATCTTTTATTGATTGTTTCAGCCTAACAATTGTACTAGGACCTTTAAGAGCAACAGCTCCCAAAGTGTGGTCTGTGGGGTATCTCAAGACCCTATTTAGTGAGGGTGTCCATGAAGCTAAGAGGTAAGATGTTTTTTTACTTTTTCCATTGTGTTGACATTTGTACTGATGGTGCAAAAGCAATGGTGGCAAAAATTTCTGATGCCTTCGTGTGAATTGTAGGGTAGTGGCACCAAACTGTACTAGGAGAGTGACTATTTTTCACTGCCGTGCATTCAAGGTTTAAAAAAAAATGAACATCAGTTTCACTTAAGATTGTCCTTCATAAAAGAGCTAAAATTATCTTGGGCTTGGGGTGTAGGTCAGTGGAAAGCTGGCTTACCATGTGTGAGGTCCTGGGTTTAATACTCAGCAGTACACAAAACTAAAAGCCCCTCAATTATTTTTTTTWAAATATTTATTTAGTCATTTATTTATTTTAGTATAGGTGGACACAATATCTTTATTTTATTTTTTTATGTGGTGCTGAGATCAAACCCAGTTCCTCATGGATGGCAGGCGAGCACTTTACCTCTAGGCCACAATCCCAGCCCGAGGCCCTCAATTCTTGAGTACATATCTCCTCAATACTGTGTGAAGAGATGGGAAATAGACACAGGGCACTCTGATATACAGCACACAAGCACATTGTTGTAAGGAAACGAACTTTGTGCAACCGAGTTGCAAGCTGAATCAGCACTTTTTCTCATGGAATACCATTTTCACTTCCAAGAACAAATAACAAAATATGGTTAGTCAGACTTATTTATTCAGCAGCCATTTTCTCGAAGATGAACAAAATAAGCCTGTTACTTCTAGGAAACAAAATGGCAATATTTTTGACAATTATAACATTCAAGCTTTTAAATGAAAACTGAGGAGCTTAGAGATATATCTACCACCATGAGCTTGATAGCCTCCAATATTTGAACACTTTGATAAGTCTTGAGATTGGTGGTGAGTGGTATTTGAAAATGTGATTATTTTTTACACTGTATGACAACATTTGTAAAATCTGCATATCTCAGTGAACTCATATTTTCTAAATGACTAGTGTATTATATTCCAATCAAAACACAAGCTCAGTGAAATTTAATGTAAGAGAGTACAAAAAGGTCATTAATATGGTTTCAATCATATTTCAAATAATACTTAAAAAACTAGCACTTGTTAAATTTTGAAGAATATCAAAAAAGAATATCCACAATTATCTGAAAAAGCTATCCAAATTCATATTTGTATAATATTTCTACAGGTACTTCAATTGAAACAACATATTCTAACAGACTGAATGCAGAAGCTGATGCAGGAAACCAACTAAATGATATTAAGCAAGGCATTTAAGAGAKTAGAAAAAATTCAAAGCAATCTGTCATTCTTTTTACTTAAATTATTTAAAAATAGAGATTTTAAGAAATTTTTTTTACTTTAATTTCTATGTAAATATACACAAAATAGAAAAGCTTTTTTTT